ATCCAACCAATAGCCAGAACAGACTGAGAAACTAATGAAGCTCAAATATCATGAAACATTCCAAAAGTAAGGAAAGTTTAATTCAAGAGAGCAGCTCTCATCAGTGCATCTGACCCTTCTTTACCAACCTTAACAATCTAGGTAGTGATTTTATCCAAACCCACAGGAGGATGAAGAATAATTATTCAGGCATACCTTCCCTATTTAATGAAGGCAGAGACAGCAGTGCCTGCAATCATCCTAATTGCTGTTCACAATAGCCACTTCAGCTCACACTCCATCACAACTATATCATCCCTTCTGACCACCCAGGTAAGTGCAGACCTTTATTGGGACTGAGCAAAAGCAGAACCCAAGAAACGTGGAATTAGTATTGCTGCACTCCAATGATTTCAATAACTTTTCATTGTAAAGGATGAAGAGAGAAGACAAGAACTTGTCATCAGGAAAATGCAAGTGCTTGTTATCAGAAGAAAATGACTGCTCCTATGGATGCATTATTACATTCCTAGCCATGTGTCGTGGTTTTGTCCATCTGTCCAGGCCCTAGGGCCAAGCCCTGGTTTTGTCCAAGTGGATTTCCAGACAAGAAGCCAATTAAAACTCTCACTAACGCCTTTGCTAATTACATATTTAAGAAAATGGAAAGGAAGGGTTGTGTCGCAGTTGAAATTAGGGGCAGCAGCCATGCAGAAGAGGCAGCGGGCCCTAGGAGGGTAAGACTCCCTCCTCCCCCGCCTTGGGCCAGGGGCAGGTGTGGCACTGAAACCCCCCCTTCTGTCTTGTAAGAGAGTGAAGAAAAAAAACTTTAGAGAAGAGACTGGACGAGAAAAGCTGCAGAAGGAATTCCAGCAAAGAGATAACAAGAGTGTCCAAGGTCAAAGCTGACAGCCGGAGGAGAGAGAGAAGAAAAGTTGGAAAGGGGGGGCTTGCTTCTCCCCCCCCCTTTCACTCTCTCCCTTCAGCAGGGAAAAGACTGAAAAATAATCCCTGCTACCTGTAGGAGTTTGCTGGGGTGAGGAGACCCCTCTGTTGCTCTTGGAAAAGCCTACACTGGAATAAGCTGATGCATGAGGAAATCGAGACTTCATGACAAGGACTGAGATAAGGTAGAGTCCTGCTGAAGATTTTGTGACCCTAAGGGAAACCTATGCTGGAGCAAAACGGCTCAGATGGGATGTTGGGATCCAAGTGTGGAATCCATGCTAGACCCATGCTGGAGAGGTCTATCGAAGACTGTTCTCCCGTGGGATGGGACCTCCACAGGAAAACAGGGGTGGACTCAAAAAACCATTATCCCCTGTAATTCTGTGGTGAAGATCCATGGTAGGCAAGTGACCCCTTGCAAGACTATGGAAGAAAAACCTTCAGGACCTGGGTAACCCCCAGCCTTCGGTCTTAGCCCAGGAGGGGGGTAAGCCCAGCCCTGGAGGCCGACACAGAGCGAGAGAGAGATGAAGTTCCAGCTGCGACGAGAGTGCTGCAGAGTTACTGGAAAGAGAGAACTGGAACTCCAAGAATGGAGAAAAGGACTGCTTCTCCTCCTTGGACTAATATAAAGGAGGGAGAAGTATTTCTGTAAATACTTAGTACTTTTACCTAAATAGTATTATTATAGATATAGTTCTTTAGTAGCTTTTATTTTGATTTTGCTAGTAATAAATGTTCATATTATTTTTCCCCAAATCCAGTCCCTTTTGTCTGCATAAACCTTGTCTCAACTAATAATAACTGTGTGGGGGGTGTGAGCAAATTGACCCAGAGCAAAACCACAACACCATGCTATAGTATGATTCTGCCATTGATAAACTATCCAAAGCCACAGTAGTAATCCCTGTTATTTGATGTCTTAAAATGCAGATATATCCCCTAACAATGTATGTCTGTGAGTAAAATTCAGAAAGGACAATGATTCAATGATTCAGAAAGGACAATGATGACAAATAATTCCAAAGAATTTTGGAAAAAATTCAGAAGAAAAGTTGCTGCCTTCCTGAGGAATTATAAATGTATTTGTGATTTACTATGTGTCTGAACGACTTTGTGAACAGAAAAACTTAAAGGTTCTTGGAGGCTGAGTGGGTCTTTATTAGTGTAGAGACCATTTTGCTTCACTTTCCGTTGCATCACCTCACTGTGATAAAGTTTCTGTCAAAACCAGCCATTTGCATAAAAGCAAGTATCTGCTGAAAAGATGTTTCTCCCAGCTTGCATTAAAAACTCTTAAAAGATTTTAAAATTTTTTCACTGACACCAACAGGCTCTTAATTCCACTTGAGGTCCTTAAGGCTTATAAGACACTTTAAAAAACTGAGGAAAATAAAAAAAGATAAACTTAGAACCACAAAAGCTATAGTCTTCTTACCATTTCAAACACTGGGGCTAAATCCTAAGTTTGTTCAGACACTGAGGTCTAGTTTCAAAAAAAACCTACACAGAATTTAGGCATCCAAGTCCTTGGCAATGACCCTGTTTAAGCTCAGTGCTTCCCAGGCAGGCCACGTGTACCATCAGCATCACACCCAGGGGTTTAGGGATACACTGCATGTTACCAGCATGGGTCATGGAGTTTCCTGGCAAAGCAGTTGCTGGAGAAGGATTTGTGGAGGTGGCACTTACTGTGTGAAGTGTCTCTGAGGCAAAGCAGCTCCCACTGGCCACACCCAGACAGGAAGAAGCCTTAAGGAGAGTAGTCAAGCCAACATGCCAGCAAGAAATGAGACATACCCCAAAAAACAAAACCTTCCCAGCAGCTTCCAAGTAGCTGGCACATTGGTGAGAGTGACTGCAAAGGACTGAATAACAGTGGGTAGGCTATGCTTATCTTGAGAATCACAACCCTTAAACTGCACCATGTTAACAAATGGCTGTCAGCATTTTTATAGCTCATTCAATTCCCAGTCCCAGCCTACTGAACTTAGTAATAGAAGAGCCAAGAAGACTGATAAATTAGCACTGTTTGCTGGATCTATCACCTATCCTTCAGTGAGTTAGAGCTACGAAATACGGTAACGACATCTGATTATCTCATTGAAAAACTTGTCTAATGCAGTCTCAGTAATAGCCATAAACTATTCTTGGTGAGTGTTTTTCCATTCAGTTCAGTAATAAATGTATAAGCAAATCAAGAGTTCTAAAAGAAACTAAGAACTTTACATTCACTCCTGTCATTTAACTGTATCTTTAAATGTTCTGTATTTCTTCCTTTCTGCTCCCTCATCTTAGCCACCTTGTGCAGTCATTGCGTTCTGCAGCAAATTATATGACACTTTCCCTTACTGGCATACCTAAATAGCTGCTTTCTGAATTTGTCAAATCAGTGGGGTGGGTTATATAGTCTTCTTTTTCCCCTCAGTCTGCATTATGTAACCCTAAAACCGTGATTGTTTATGAAATAAAAAAGATAACCCTGATTTTGTTTCAAGAGTCTAAGAATTTAAGACCACTTGACTTACAATCTTGTAGTTTTATGCCACCAAGACAAAAAAAAAATGTTCTTGAGACAAGCCCACCGTGATCTTTTGGACCCACAGGGGATGCTGTTCAACACATCTGCATCCTTCCTTGTGCTCTGGGCTACTAAAAGCTAGAATCACAGTATCAGCTAGACCTTCAAGATCATTGAGTGCCACCATTAAAGGTGAATGCCCCTAACCCTTGTTACACTTTCAGCCACTTAACAGCAAACCTGACCCACTCTAGAACAGATACTGCCATAGATATCTGCTACAAAAGCGTATCAGAGACTTACATGCCAAGCTAACTAGAGCTGAAGAAATCACACACAGCTAACCCATATGTAAAGCAGCACCAAAGAAGTTCAGGAATTAATGCTGCATTCAACAGAAAGTGCAGTTAAATTCTGAGTAAACATATTACAGCACCTTTATCTGGTAGAAGAACTGGAAGAGCAACTGGAATAAAGCATCTATAAATTTCACCTGCTGCCTGATAAGTAAAGAGAAAATATCAAAAAGTACAATATCTGTGAGATGAAAAAGACATCTGATATGCTTAGATTATCTTAGTTCCTACACTACACTATCCTAATGACAAGAGAATACGAAAAACAGTTCTATAAGAACAGCTTCAGACTGCGTTAGCTGGTATGACTTACACAACAGAAAGGAATTTCAGCTTCCCAGAAAGGAAACAAATAGCTGTATCATACAATTACCCTCTCAATGTGCTTAATGAATCATCTTGAGTTATCTTTAGATAAGAACAGTATGTCTACAGAAAATGTTTACAGACAAAAGGCATCAAATTAACACCGTGTACCCATATTAACACTATCAGTCTCCACAGTCATAGGAATTAACTGCCAAACGTACCAAATGCCAAATCCATTTTTCAGATCTAAAAGAAAAGTTATTTTTAAAACACAAACTATATTCCTTTTCAAAAAATTCACAGTTGAATTAGCCTATAAGCATGCCAGACGACCAGATTTCTGAATTTACCCAACTGTCCTATCTTCCCAATTCTAGCAATTCAGTGATTTTTACACTTGCAACCTGGTGCTCTTACACTCTACTGGTGTGAACACTCTACCTGAAAACAATACTAACAGATTACTTACCTTTTGACAAATTATTATTTAAATTGTTGCATTCTACAGGAACAGAGATTACAATTCAAACTCTGGTCTAGGAAGTGGCAATTCTTGTTGCTGGCATAGGAAGGATTATGCCTGTTCTGAATTAGTGATGGTTCACAATAAGCATAAAATAATCTAAATATATACGTTGTATCTGTGATAGAGCATTTTCTACAGCCTTTAGACATGAGTATAATATAATACAGTATCTACTCATTCTGGGAATCTGTATTTCATTTTTGCTTAGATTTCTGTAGAAAAACGTCCCTTTCACCTTTTTAAAGAGTGTGTCGAGAAACACAGGTCAAACTCTAATTGACACAAATTACAGTTTACGTTCAAATATACTCTAACAACAGGCTTTGAGACAGATGTTTAAAAGAGGACAGTGGTGACTTACATTGCTGATGTACTCAGAGAGCAGGTCCTGCAGAGCCTGGCGGATGGCATTGCACTCGGCAATGATGCGCTCCCGATGGACATCCCGCGTGCACGACGAGTCGGCCAGCAGAGCTGCTCCACTTATAATGGCTTCCAGGTGTTTCTCTAGGGAGGGTCTTACTGTCTCCTCATTCACTACAAGAGGGTCCAGGACAATTAAATTCTGGAAAAATTAAGGAGTTTGGTTAAGAAAAGTCAGCCCAATTAAGTTGTTGCTCTATTTTTTACTAGCGTGAACTACAGGGACGTTATGCTTCCTAGACTTGCAACCAGTCCTTCCCACTGGAAGGTCAAAATACTTTTGACCATGGCAGATTCCATTTTCCCCAGTGGGACTGCTCATAGAGATCATTTGTGGACAAACCCAAATTCTCTCTGCCATTCAGATTTCACTGGTTTCTAAGCCAGTTATCCACGTTATCAAATCCTCAGACCAGAGTCTCGGCTTTGTTTGAAAGAGGGGTTCAACAACTCTAAACTTTAGTCGTTTACAGATCAGGAGGACCTCTGTATTTACCTCAAAACAGCAGTGCTAGCTCACAGCTGAGAATGTTACATCAGATTACATGAGCAGTCTAATTCTGCTGATTTTTAGCCTAATGCAATCCCATGCTGTGACAAAGTCAATACTGCCACCTTGAACAGGCTGAATATATGAAAAGATAAAAACAGTATCTTTTGTTTAATACTTGGGGTTTTTTGCAAAGGATCTAGATATGTGTCCTTTTGCTTTCCAGTAGGAAGAGTAAACAAAAGCAGACAACTCTTTTGGCTTGATAAAATTAATAACATTTGTGCGTCAAGCAAATAAAGGAGAGATGATATCATGAAATGTGGAAGTAAGTATGTTTGAGATGCAGCATTTAAGGAAATTCAAACCAGTAATTTTTTAATGTAACTGAACATCTGAAACAGTGTCATTATGGTTCTGATCACCAAACCTGTACTCCACAAACACCCATTCACCTTTTACACCCACAGGTAGTTGAAACATTTCAGAAGAAGTCTTGAACAAGAAAACTATGCCATATACCCTTGAAGAAGAATTTTTCTGTTATCTATTCTGAGATACTATAAAAAGTCTAAAACTAAGTTCATGGATTTGTTTCAGGAAGTGAAAGGACAGACCATTAAAATGGTTTATGGGTCTATCTCAGGTGCTCCTATGTATCCAGCCAATGCAAGCGCAGATTAAGTTAAACTTGGAAATACAAAGTTCCTGGATTTTTCAAAACAATGTTTACCTATCCAGACACAATAACAGTGAAAAGGAATTTATGTGTGAGCAGGAAGGAAAGAAACTCATTATTCTGAAGATGAAAAACACAGCTATTTGTATATCCACAAAGTAACATCATAACCTAATTAATTAGCTCCTAATTGAAAGATGTGAAAAACATGTTGATCATGAAAATCTGAATTTTACATACAACCATGGAACAAAAGCCAAACTGGGATGGAACATTTTGCCCACTCGTAATGACAGAGGAAAGCAAACAGGTAGCTCACTGCTTTCATCTTTTGCAGAAGCTGGAGCCAGTAAAGAACTACCTAACATTTAAAAAACATATTAAAAGTATTAGCACAGGACATCCATTTCTTTGTCCTTTTTTTTTCTTTGCTGAGCTTCCTTACAGCAGTGAGAGAATGGCTGGAAGCAAAGGAAAGCTGCACTCCCTTTACCTGGAGGCAAGCTAAGTTACTACACACCTCAAACACAATAGGCACAGCAGGAAATTAGGGAAATGAGTACAGGCAATTGTAAAAAAGTGGTATGGAGTGCCATTAAGAAGTCTGAAATGCAGGGAAATTAATCCCTTTCAGCTGTCACCTCAGTAAGTAAGAATATGTAATTTTAAAAGCAAAATCAAATAGTTCTCAGTAGTAGGAAATGTGTTTTCCTGCCTAACAAGTGTTGAGCAACTCCATTATTCTGATCTTTGTTACTGCAGCTATATCCAGACATAGCAAAATTAAAAATGAAGCAGCTTCGACTTTTATAACTAGCACATTAATGTATATATTTGGAAAACTGCATAAAACTATGCAGGTTTTAATGTTTAAATATTTACCTTTAAAAATTATCTATCATTAACTTGCACTTAAGAGACAAGTTCACACTAATCTTACACAGGAAAGACTCATCCATAATGATCTTCTAAGAATGACAAGGGAAGATCTTCTAAGATAAATTCAGTTCCAGAGGTCAGGACATTGACTTCTGATGTGGAAGAAGGTGCTGGAGATTTGAAACTCTGCCTCCCTCAATCACATTAGAGCCCTGAATACCAAAGTGTTCTGTGGTACTTCACATCTGCTGGAGTTTTGCCACTTGGTCCTGGAGCAGCAACTTCCCTGTCAAGCTCCTATAACCCAACCAAGTCCCCTCAATGCCAGGTTGCACATACAGTGTCCACTGTAATGCAAAACACACCTGCCAAGTACAATAGTGAAGTGTCACTACATTAAAAAAACAGTTTCATTGTTTGTGGAAGACTAAGACACACCTAAAGGCTACAGCCAATTAGCCATTTAGCTAGAAAAATGATTGCCTTCAAATCTCAGATGAAACAGAGGCAGAAACATCTTCCTTTGGGAGACAGTTTGTAGAAAAGTTCATGCCAAGGTGGACCAATAGCACTGGCAAAAAAGCTCCTGTGATCCATCACTAAATGATCAGAAAAATCTAGGCAATAATAAACAGGAAAATACGAGTTAAGACTCTGCCCACAGATTAAATTCTTCAAGCAATTTCATCAATTATCTACAAGTAAATCTATGCAAAAAAGACCCAGTGAGGAGATCCCAGCTATGCAACAAGCAGTCCTGCAGTTTTGCTTTGAGAAGCTAAACAGTGCTCAGCTACCTGAGCCCTTAAGCATAAAGTGAGAATTTAAAAGGAGTGATTAGATCCCTATTTTCTCCCTCAATGGACTTCTGATGCATGAAAAAGAGGGATCGTGGTTATCCAGAAAACTAGTTCTATTTCCTGAAGTGTTGAACTGATTTACAGCCTTTTGATAGCATTAAAGGACCACAGATTAGCTGAACATGCTGACAGAGTCAGGCATGTAAGACCTGGATCATTTCGTGAGAAATCTCTTTACATTCACAAGGTGCAAGAGCAGTGAAAGGCATCAGTTCACCTTCACCCACACCCTCTTTTCACACATCTTAATATGCAATTAAATTTTTAACGTTCCAATTTTGTGTTTATTTATCAATGGCAAGGTAGATATTTAGAGGCTTTAAGAGGAACTGCTGAGAATCTACTGATTTAAGGGTTAGCTGCTCTAATTTTATTAGTGGCTTCCTCACCTATAAATCTTTAATAACTTTCACGCTGCCAGCCCTGGAAAAGGAAGAATGGCATTGCAAAACATCTAGATACTAGATCATTGGGTAGGCTCTGTGATACATTTCCACACTATAAACATTTAATGAGATTTGTTCCCAACAGACTATTTACTACATCAATCTATTTCATGGCACTGCATTTGCAACAGGAAGATAGAGCAAAGGTTATTTCAGGTCCTTAGCCAATAGAACTTTCTAGTAAAAAGAGAAGAGTGCAACCATCTAATTCCTAATATCATTTTAAGTTAAATGCTCCATAAATTCTGCTTTATCTAACTCACAAAGCTTCAATTCCCATTTGTGGTACTTAGGTAAAAATATATTTAAAACTCCATAAACAAATGGCTTTTTAAAACAGTCAGACTTCTGTGTTCGTATGTCTCCAAATAAAACCAAATTCATTACAAAATACTATTTTTTTCCATTTTCTGATTATCACAAATCTCAAATTTCAGAACTATAATAAATTTTATTATGTTTTTTAAATTATTTAAACGGTACTGCTCACATACAGTCAAGATGAGTTCATCTGCGGTCAGAAAACGCAACATTTTCACCAAATCTTTAAAAAAATTTGTAAGTAAACCAGGTAAATAATAGCTCTCATTTAAAGTACACATTTGTCATTCAGAGTTTCATTGCAATAAATCATTACTCTTAAATGTTTCTCTTTTTTTTTCTGTTTATTAAGAAAATAGATTAGAAACTACAATTTTAAAACCCAGTGGGAGAAGCAAGGAGGGATGACAAGTAATGTGCTATTGCAGCCTGTTCCTTTAGGGGTTAAAAAACCCGTCATATTCAACTTCAAGTACGACTGAGAGGTCTGTTTTGATCAATAAACTGCCACCACCAAATTTGTGTGATATTTCAATGTATTTCTTTAATCTTCCATTGAAAATTTTAGGCGAAGTCTATGACCATCAGTCATAACACCAATTCTTCTGAAAATGTATCAACAATATTGGAGTTCTGAGACTGAGATTAGCTAAGCCCAAGAATTTACAATCAAAACCACGAATGTTTGCGAAAGTGTTTGGAAACGTTCACTCCTGTTGTTGATCTGGGCCTCTATCAGTTACACCAGACAAGGACCATGGTCTGTAATCCCATCTACAGGAGATCTTTGATCATTTTTGGCAGCACAATGGAAAATGACGCTGGTAAGAGCCAGAGCAGCCACAAGAAAAGGGAGAAGCTCCGTACAAAAGCTTCGGATGAGGCCAGGAGTGGAGAAAGAGCTGCCTTTCTCCAAGTATTTGATTCAATAATGGAAGCAGAAATACAGAATTTGTGACAGCATACTGGTTATGTCACTTTATTTAATAATAAGCAGACAAGGTTTCTAAATTGTTCAATGATATAAATTATAGGATGACAGAGGAAAGGACTTCAGCTTGTGTGGTACTGGTTCAAATGCAGTCAAGGTAGCAGTGATCACTGTCAGCTGATAATCATTGATTAGGAAACTAAACTCATGGCTTCTGCCCACTTACCAAGGATCCATCTGGCTTCAGCACTAGCAACACTTGGAACTAACTCTTCCCTGCTGCTCCAAAGAAGCCAAATGTTGAACACACTGGAGAGCTAATTCCAAATTCTTCTGAAGGAAGTTATCCCTCTCAATGAAACAATTCCGAGTGATACTATTTAGACTCAGACTAAGCAGAGCCTTTCTAATGCCCTTAGGCCCATCACCTATGTTATCAAGAGTTATTAAAGAAAAAAAAAAAAAAGCAACACTTTTCCAAAAACATTGTAGTCTCACAGGTTTACATACCTCAAGCTCATCAAGTGCACTTCCAAGAGTAGCTGTGCGAGATGTAGGTTGTTCCATTTTATTTCCAACTCCTTGGGAAGCATTAGAAATTGCATTGAGAGCATTCTGTATTTCATTGCAAATTGAATCCTTGCTGGCTGTAAGGGATGCAACATCTGAATGTTCCAAACAAGCTGAACATATTGAATGTAGGAAAGAGGAATTTTCCTTCAGGGATGCACGTGCTGCAGCAATCTCATCTCGCTGATCGCTAGATTTCAAATCCTGTCAGCAAGAGAACACGCTGTTTATTCCCAAAAGCACTTCAAAACTGACAAGTAATGTATAAACAATTTTTTTCCTATCTCCACTCTGTTTAAGGAAACATCAAGTTAAATTCATCAAAGATTGTGAAAATGGGCTATAACAGTACTTACAACTGAATCATCTTTATGCCACAAGAAATGAACCAAGTCTGTGTAAAACAACCACAATTTTTTTTGTGCCTTACAACCAGCACCATGAACTGTCCGCGTCTTGCTTATTTTTAAGCAGTTTTCCTCTGAGAAAATTGGCCTGGAAATTAGCTGTCTTTCCTCTCAGATGTGCCTTTCTTCATAAGCAATGGAGGACAGAGGTGCAGACAGAGTTAAGCAAGGATTGTATAACTGTTGCATCTAAACAAATTTCCTGTGTTTTCTTCCCTGTCCCACTAGCCTATGTCCCGAGCACAAGCAGAAATGAACAGCAAATCAGGGTTGAGAATCCTGCACTCCTGGGAAATGGAACATGTGGAAATTAAAAATGTGCTTAAGAGAAGCCATATCTGAAGCCTTACTACCTGTTTCTCCTCTCTTCCTGCTGTGTACACACTTAAAGCAACTCAGGGATCCTACCTGACTCTTCTTCTTCCTCCCTTCTCTACCCATATCTTCTTGAAACCCCACTGCCTCCCACCAGCCCAGACAACACAGGACACACAGCTGGATAGAGCTACTGAGGCAAGTGTAACTGGCTCCAGGAATCAAGCTTGAGAGCTGTTACTTGGAAAGCTGAAAGTTAGATGGACTTTGGGACAACTACACAGTCAACATCAGGACTGAAAGGAGCCTCCTGTCCTGTTCTGTTTTTTTCCAGACATTCTCCCACTCTCCTTCTGCATCTTGTCCCTTTGAAAAAACACTGGTAGATATTTGCAAAATGGCTTGGGTGAAGGAGATAGTTAAATTCAGGGGGAAAATGAAAAAGGAAGGGAAAATAGCACATCAGAGCCTGTGGCACCAGCTTCAAACGATGAGAAGAGGCACAATGAAGAATGAACAACAAAATGCACACAAAACTTCTCAAAAGCCTGCCCTAAAGCAAGCTGAAGTCCAATTATTTTTCCTTTGCATTGCATCAGTCTCCATATGCATTATTTACAAAATCACAGTATCCACTTCTCACTGCATAAAGTTTGTAAGTTTATGGTTGAAGAAAAGAGCATTTGCTATTAAATGAACCAGTCCTATGTTTTTAAAACCTCATTTACTCCAAGATATGCATTGGACATCATATTGCATCTTACTTCCTCGGGCTAACTTGGAAATCTCAGGCATACAGTAAAAGCCAAACAACCAAACAAATGAGAGAGAGAGTTGGAGCTTTAAACAGAGTCAGAGTGGTTTAACCAGCTGCTATCTGAATCAGAAAACTGAGTTTTCTTGAGTGTATTAACACATAACATATTTTAACATTTTTAATAAACCAATCAGTGAATCATCACTGTGCAAGAATGACTTCACTGCCCAGTGTGTTCAAATCCAAATACTACTGCACCTCCAACCTCAGTAAAGCATCTGCATTTTTTCCAGCACACTGGACTTTTTCAGCAAAGAGTGTTATTTATTTTTAAACACAGGCTCTTTTCTCTAAGTAGTGAATCTATCTTTCCTACCATTATATTACAACACAGCAGACTGCCCTCTTTTCCCCTGTGCTGCAAGGAAGCCACAGACCTCAGGATACAAAGGGAAGTCACCACAATACTTCAGTCTAGCCACCTTCTATTATTAACTATTTCTTACTTTGCTGCATCATACATGGATGGTCAAACCTGGAAGTCCTTCAAAACTACTCTTTCCCTCTAAAACAGTTCTATCTAAGCAGGATCAAGGGGTTCAGAAGAAATCCCAAACTGATAAGCCAGTAGCACAAAGCTGGTAACAGCAGTCAGTAACACAGCATCTGGAAACAGTCAAAAAGGTGCAACAAGTTCATGTTTTTAAGTAAACACAGAATACTTTCACACAGTACTGTGTAGAGATTCAGAGTCATGGCACTGGTAAATTCACTTGTGAATAGCCTCACTTTTGTTCAATACCATGTATAAAATTCAAAGAAAAGCTTAGACCCATCATTACTTTGTTGTTCAGCTCTGAGCCTTGGGCAGCCACCAAAGAAGCTGTAGGGCCATTGTTCCTTTCCATCTTGAGGAAGAATTAGTTCCTTGAGACTTTTCATGTGAAAAGGAAGAAACAGATGATAATCTTAGACCAATCTTCTGCATAAATGGACCAAAAATACCTAAAATTGAGTGATTTCTCTATCAAATCTTTGCATATGTAGGTTATTAGTATAACGTAACTAGTTCTTTGAAGAAGGAAGTTATTCTCTACAAACATCTGCAGTTCACCTAGCTACTTCACTGAACTTTAGGCTATTTTCTATTTTATTGTCATAGTTTACCACTTTTCTCTTATTCCAAGTTCTTTTTAGACTAGTAGACTTTGCCCACTGGTCTGACGTGTTTCTCCATACTAAGTCAGATATGTTATATGAGACCAGCTGAGATCACAGACAATCTATCCACTGCTGACCAGTACAGTGACACTTCCTCAGGTTGCTGTCCCAGCCCTACCATAATGTACTTCTATGTCTTTCTTATACCTGACTGTCCCTCACAAGAAAGAAAACAAATGGAGAGTCCCAGATTCTCAGCTGCTGATTGCTCCAGTTAAACATGGTGAATGGAAAATTTGAAAACCACATTCACAGTTAAGCATTAGTTGCACTCCTTCAACGATAAGGAAAAAAAGGGGGGAAATAAAACCCTGTTTATTTTCCTGTTCCACATAATATATCTAAGGTTTGACAGCACAAAACACCAGGTAGCCAGCTCTTTTTCCCTGAGCATTCCCATTAGCACAACTCATGGGGTCTGGACATCACCATGGGTACAAATCAAACAGTCCTATTCTGCACCAGCTGTAGTCAACACCAGCTTCACACAGACAGCTTCAAACAAAGTGCACTGCCCTTCCCCAGCTTGCTCTCTTCAGAGACAGATGTTATTGAACCAAATTCTGTATCCAGGAAAAAACACAGGCATACAAACCCCCACAATTTCATACTACACAGAACTAGGGGACAAAAGCATGAGTTTTTATCACAGTTTAAACCTGGGCTTTAGCATTCAGCTTTCAGTCAAAACTGACTGCCAAACTGTGTGCAGTAGGTGAATCAAAGGCAATAATAAAGCTCAAACTCTTCCAAGTGCACTCATACACTGTTCATCCGGGCAAGGCTCCAGTTTATATATTTTATAAGTACTGTGTTGTCATATTCAGTGGCAGAAAGTATCTCACAGACAAGAAAGTGCAAAAGATCTGGGGCTGATACCGACCACCAGGTCTCTCTCAGCTGTGTCAGTTCTGCCAAGAGAAGAGTTTCACAGGGGTTTTAGGTCTTACACCCACCCCTCAGGGCCAGCCTGGTCTGGGAGTTGCATCCATGTTCACATGTGGGCCTGCAGCCCCAGTTGCACACACCCTGGGATGCTCAGTCCCTCTCCAAACTCTGCTATGAGGCTGCTGGGTTCCAGCTCAGCCACAGCTGCCCCTGCCCAGCCACAGCCCCAGCCCACAGACTGAGCTCCTGAGTTCCACCTGGCCCTGTCACCACAGGCCTTCTGAGATACCACTGAGCTGTCTCTTAACTGGATCCATGGACTGACATCATAGCTTGTCCTCTCCTGACCTACCTCAGCACACAGACTTTCCTGAGACACCACTAGATCATACATTTGTGCTACACTGACTTCCAAAGTTCCCCTTACAGGCATTCACAGTGACTTCACTGAGACAGTTTGCCAGTAAATTCAGAACAGCATTGAACCACAGGAATTTGTTTTAACACACCTTTGCGCATTTATCATTGACTGAATCAAAATCCTGCCATTACCCCTAGAAAGCAAACTAGCAGATCTTTTGGCATCATAGAAATGGAGACTCTGGAAATCCATCCTGAAGACATCTCATCTGCTCCTTCACAGAGAATATCTGAGTTCCCAAAGCCAGTTCATTTGCGTTTTGTTTGTCAAGGTTTTCCAGTGATTATTCCAGTCCAAAGAGGTAGATGAAATAAATGAATACTGTTACACTTCCGAAGCATAAAAATGTTTCCTTTCTCATTTCTTTTTTTCTGACAGACAGGCAATCCAGAAACACTGACAATCCCCAAAACAACAGTGCACAGAAATACCATATACACAAAATACACATACTCTGTATAGCTAAAACTGTAGGCAGTTCATTTGCATCAGCCATATGCAGGAATACACAAATGTGAACTGCTGAAATACAAATCCATGCCAATGTTATCATACAACTAAACTTTAAGCAATACCCTCTGCCTTTTAAGATAACTCAGCAGTCTTTATAAATCTGTATCTTTCAGTCAACTTAGAGCAAGCAGGAAATGGATTGACAGGACTGAGGTTCCCAGCAGAACTTCCTACCTATACCTTTGCATCTTAAAGTCTGCCAAAGAGCCTGCCCACTCTCATAAGTATGAAAAAGCAAACATTAAGTATAAATCATTGAGTCTTCCTTTCCTCTGCTTTAACTTGGTCAAGAGGAGATTCAGGATGAGTTCACCACCAAATTTTCAACAGTGCAAACCGGAAGCCAAACTTAAAATGCTTCAGAAAAAAGTCTCAACCATGAAACACACCAAAAGGTTCTAGCTGCTGTCTTCTCAAGCCTGCCCCAAGGAGATAGAGTTTATTCTACCTATAATGTTGTTTTTCTGAGTGCAATGTTGGAAATACATAATGAAGTCTTAGCTTCAAACAACACTCCTCAGTCCTAGGAAACATCAAGATTACAGGCATTTCATAGCAGGGAACAGGCTATGGGATGCTCTTTACCTTCTCCTATTGTGTTTGGCTGTGCCAGGGTTGCAAAGAAAACAAGATTAATTTTACATCCAGTAATTCAGGGAGTTGTATTTGCAAGCAAGAAGGA